AGGACCCCGTAACCCAGTCTGTCCATCGTCCTGGCCTTGCTGCTTCCTGTCTGTGACCTCGGCACGTTCCCTACCTCCTGCTGTCTCCATTTTCTCACCCTAAAAATCAAGAAGATCACAGAACCCACTTCCTGTCCCCGCTGCCTCGCCCCACCTCCCAGTGGAGCAGTTTTGTGAGGGTGAAACCGCAGGAAGCACGTGGAAGGAAGAGTATTAGGTATACATTTAGTGTCTAATAAGTGCTGGCTTCTGTCGCCAGTGCCGTTCTGATAATCCCAGAGTTTGATTTCTACGACTCTGTCCTTAGAAAGGCAGCCAAGACAAGTTTCAGACAGACGCAGTCTGACCAGTAGCACAGGGGGCCTTGGGGTGGGCTGGGGCCTCTGCAGTCACTGGACCCCGGGCCAGGAAGCGCGGGTGTGGACCGGGCTGATGCAGATGGAAGCAGCGAGTCACCGATCGCGTTCCTGCGCTCTTCGGCTCTTCGCGCCTTTCCTCAGCGGAGCGTGCCATGAGGTCGCAGGGCCGGGGCTGGCAGTGTGGACAGGGCGGGGTCGGAGCCAGCTCGCTCCCGCGTGCACGCTGCTGGGGGCGCGGCAGCAGGCAGGACTGGAGGCCAGGCGTGGCTGGGTGCTGACTTACAACAGGCGGAGCGGCGCCCTTGCATCCGGTGTCCCGGCAGGAGACCCTGTCAGACTGCAGAGAAGGGCAGCCTGGTCGTGTCTGGGTGAACGTGCGGGTGTGGCCATGCGGGCGCAGCCGTGGCTCGGGATGCCGGGTCCACAGGACGGACAGGTCTGGGGCCCTCGCCGGGCTCTTGCCATCTTTCCCTGGCACCTGAGGACCTGCGCAGTCTGAGCTGCACTCCCCCCCCGTCCCATTCGCTGGGATCCCTTTGCGATGTTCCCCGTCTGGGCCACAGCCTTGGTTGCGTGTTTTGTGTGCAGTAGCAAGGGATGACTCTGTGACTCAGTCATAGTCCCTTCTGGGATGTGTCCCAGGGCCCTGCTGGGCTCGGGGGGCTGTGGCTGTCCCTTTCAGGAAGCTACGGCTGCCTCTGGACAGGCTTCAGGGCCCAGCTCCCAGGGTCAGGCCCGGTGCCGGGGTTTGGGGCGGGCAGGGCTAGAGCACCTGGCGTTTCCCCCGGGTTTCCAGCTCCTCTGTGTCCCCTCGTGTTCCTGACAGGACCGGGAGCGTCTGGAGTTGCTTTCTCTCTGCAAGGGTGCGCAGGTTCAAACACCTGTGCACCTCTGTGGCGCCTCGGGTTCGTGAAGCTCTGATGACCTCTTTACCCAGCGTCGCACAAATTACGAGGCTCGGAAGAGCTGTGGGCCGCTGAAACGCCTCAGCTTCCATCACGCCTCCGTTCGCTGTGCACGAGGCCCTCCTGTGGGCCCTGTGTATGGGAGAGGGTGGAGTCAGTCTGTGGTGGAGCACCGGGTCCACTGAGGGGTGAAGTGGCCCAGAGGGCCACCCCGCTATGGGGCAGGGAGTGAGCAGCGAGCACCGGGGCGGGCTGGGCTCTGGCAGCCGGGGTTTGCTGGTCGGGGAAGCCCGTGTCCACGCTCCTGCTCAGGAGCAGCCGGGCCGAGGTCCTGGAGCAAGGTCAGGACTGGGCTGAGCGCAGCTGTTCACCTGCGGCAGTCACCGAGGGCCCGGAAGACGGGCAGGGGGTCTGTGTCCTGAAGAGGGTGGCTTGGACGTGGTCCGAACAAAGGCCAGGCCTTGGCCAGCTGACTACCTGGGGCTGTGGGAGGGGGTGGTGGGCTCGGGGGAGAGCTGCGGGTGAGGAGGAGGGGCTCTGCTGATCTTCTGGGTCGGGGGCACTCTAAGGAGTCTCAGAAGGTCGCAGCGTTGGAAGGTGACGAGGATTCAGGCCGCAGGAGGACTGGAGCGGTGGGGGCTCTCGTGCTGCCCTGAGCGAGGCCGGGCGTGAGAGGGGCGTTGCCAGGGCCGCGCGGCTGTTCACGGAGACCCCGGGGCCAGGTGGGGTGGGGACGCCGTGGCCCAAGCACGGAGGGTTTGCGGCCCCGGGGCGGGGCTCAGAAGAGGGGCCCCAATAGATCAGTAGGGGCGGGCGGCCTGTACCTGATTGCTGGTTTCAGGGTCATTTGAAAGGTCAGCACCTGAGGCTTTGCTTCCATCTGTGAGCAGAGTCAGCCGAAGCGGAACCAAAAGCTGACCTGCCGTGGGCCAGGTTCCTGGGCCAGGTGTGGGGCCCCTGCAGCCAGGGCCCAGCCCGCTCTCTGCCCATCGTCACCGGGGGCCCGGCCTTTCCCTCGCTGATCCCTCCTCTCTGGCTCTGCCTAGGTCCTGGGCCAAATTCTGACGGCCCGGGTGACCTCAGCTCTTGCTCAGCCTCCAGCCCCCTCCCCCCGCTGTCCTGGGAACCCGCATAGCCCGTGCCTCCACAGGGACCTCTCCTGGCCCCGGGGTGTGTGAGGGGCCCTGGGGCACGTGTGTGCAGGTGGCTGTGAGGGCAGGGCTGGCCCCGGCCCTCCGCCTCGTGTCTGCAGAGGGGCAGGTGTACAGAGCACTCTTGGGCAGGGGTGGTGCTAACCTTTCTCCTTGTTTGCAGCCTGCTCCAGCTGGTCATCTCGGGCCCAGTGCAGCAGTCACCGCACACGGCGCTGCCCCCTGGCTTCTACCCTCACATCCACACGCCCCCGCTGGGCTATGGGGCCGTGCCCGCCCACCCTGCTGCCCACCCCGGCCTTCCCACGCACCCCGGGCACACCTTCATCTCAGGTGTGACATTTCCATTCAGGCCCATCCGCTAAGGCGGACCCCGAGAGCTGCCAAGCGCCGCCAAGCGGCAGCGTGCCTTCTGTGCCTGGGTCAGAGGAAGCTTCCGGAGAAAGGGGAGGACCAAGCCCACAGAAGATGACCTGAGGGGGCAGCCAGGTGGGCCCTCCTCGCCGGCAGAACTGCCTTGGCGCACAGCTTCCGAGCTGCCAGGTGCCTCCTACCTGGTGGCGGGGCAAGAATCCAGATGGGACGGGTGGAGGAAGTGCACAGCCTTTGGCACTGATGCCGAGTCCGTGGGCCTGTGCTCAGACACTCTGAGCCTGTGCCACGAGGAGTGCTGGCACGAGCAGCCGCCTCGGGAACGCGACACGTCCCTGCCAGGAACACCGGCGCTGTCTGCGGCCCCCCGAGCTCGGAGCTGGAGCCCTGGCTGCTCAGGGACACCCGTCGGGATTTCCCCGTCACCTGCGGAAGGAACTGCTCTGTTTTATTGGAGGTCTCTAAATTCTCCTTTCATATGTTCAAATAAATTTTTCTAAACCGTTTCATAGACTCCGTGGAGTAAATTTTCACACTGCGTGTGAGCTCAGGGGTTTCGCGTGTCTTTCCACAGAAGCCCTGAGTCTGTGCTAGCGCCCAGGGCAGCCCCGTTTGTCCACAGCCCTCAGGAGTGTGCCTGGGAGGCCTGTGCCTGCTGTGAGCTCTCGTTGTTGTGGGAGGAAGGAATGAGCATCAGCCTTCACACCGGCTCCCTGGGCAGCAGCAAGGTGGCGCCTCCAGGGGGAAGAGTGTCCCATGGGGACGACCTGGTCACCTGGTGCTGTACCCACCGTTGTGGACCGGGCCAGACCAGACCAGGTGGCCTCCCAGAGTCTCCTCAGAGATGGCGTGCGTGTGTGGAGCCTGGAGTTTCAGGCTGCCCTAGGTCAGGAGCGCGAGGTGGGGCAGTGGCGTATGAGGCTGTCCTTGCTGGGCAGGGGCCCCATTCCCTCTCTCGGATGTGAGCCCGTGGCTCTTCCAGGGCTGGAGCATCACCCGGGTCCCCTCAGCCTCTGCGAGGAACCTTTGCTTTAAAGATTATTTGCAAGGCAGAGAGAAGACAGAGACAGCTCTTCCATCTGCTGGTTCACTCCCCACATGGCTGCAACGGCCAGAGCTGGGCCTGATCCGAAGCCAGGAGCTTCTTCCAGGTCTCCCACATGGGTGGCAGGGACCCAAGGACTTGGGCCATCTTCTACTGCTTTCCCAGGAAGCTGGATTGGAAGAGGAGCAGCCAGGACTCAAATCAGCACTCAGATGGGATTCCAGCACTGTAGGCGGTAGCTTAACCTGCACCGGCCCCTGGGAATCTTCAAAAATAGTGCTTTAGAGGGCCACAGCTATAAAGGAACATTGCCTTGAGTTTGAGTTCGCTATCCCTGATTGTACATGTTTCCTGTTAAGGTGTAAGCCCGCTGCGGTCAGATCAGGAACTGCAGGGAACCCACAGGGGCCAGCCTGGGCTCAGGTCTGGGCGTTGACCTCTGGTACCAAGGGCTTCAAGACAGACCTGCAGTGCAGCCGCCACCAAGCATCTCCAGGAATGCATGAACGCGTTAGCTTAGAAAAAGCGTTGCAGGAAGTAAAGCCGTGGGAGCCACATGGCTCTCGCGGGTCTCTGGGCAGCGTGAGTGACGGCCCACTGAAAACGGGCGTCACGCCAGCGATGGCTGCCGTTCATCAAGTCTTCTCCCTTACGAACAGTGAAAGTGATGTGTTCGGTCATGACCACGCTAAGTATTTTACGTACACTGGAAGTGGATAGACGGGGGGTAGTGTTGAGTGGTTAATATGCCCATGTCCCACATCACAGTGCCTGGGTTCAGTCTCTGACGCTGGCTCCTGACTCCAGCCTCCGTGCTAACGTGCACCCTTGGGAGTCAGCAATGTTGGCTCCTGCCACCTACATGGGGGACGCAGACTGATCTGGCTTCAGCCTGTCCCAGCCCCAGTCATCGTGGACATCTGGGTAGTGAATCAGCAGGTAGTCTCTCTGCCTCTCAAATAAGTTAATTTAAAAATGTTGGTATATGAGAAAATGTGATATACAAGGTCAATGATGGCTACCCAGCATGCCTAAACGACTACAGGTTAATCCAACGACCAGTCAGGAGATGGGCGGGGGGGGGGGGGGGGGGAGGTTGGCGCAGCAGGCTGAGCCTCCCGCTGTGGCGCTGGGTCAAAGATGTTTGATGCAGGTTTGTTTGTTTTTAAAATTTATTTATTTGAAGGAGTTACACAGACACAGAACTTCCACCCACTAGTTCACTCCCCAGATGGCCACAATGGCCGGGGCATGGGCCTGGACAAAGCCAGGAGCTTCATCCGGGTCTCCCACGTAGGTGCAGGGGCCCAGGGACTTGGGCCATCTTCCGCTGCTTTCCCAGGCGCATTAGCAGGGAGCTGGATGGGAAGTGGAGCATCTGGGACATGGACCAGTGTCCATGTGGGATGCTGGCATTGCAGGCAGTGGCTTTATCCACTATGCCACAATGCCAGCCCCACATACCCAATTCATTTAAATTATAATACAGTAATTTTTTGTATACTCAGGGTGTAATCACCATCATTGTCTGTCTTAGAATTTCTTGTCAGCCCCAAAAGAAACCCCACACCCATTAGCACTCACTGCCCCTTCTGGCGACCACTAACCTTTTTGTCTCCTTGGTGATTGACATTTCCTAGCATTATATGGCTTTGCACTGGCCTTGCTTCACTTAGCATGTCAAGGTTCATCCACGGGATAGCCTGTCCCAATACATGACGCCTAGGACCAGTGTGGTGGTGCTCCCCAAATGGCCACGATGGCTGGAGCTGGGACAATCCAGAGCCAGGAGCCAACCAGGAGACTTCTTGCTGGGTCTCCCATGTGGGTGCAGGGGCCCAAGGACTTGGGCCATCTTCTACTGCTTTCCCAGGAGCATTAGCAGGGAGCTGGATCAGAAGTGGAACAGCTGAGATTCAAACTGGTGCCCACGTGGGATGCCAGTGTGACAAGCAGAGACTTAACCTACTATGCCACAGCGCCGACCCCAAATATATAAATCTTACAAAAAGGATTCTGTTTTGTAATGGCCAAGTGGTTTGTCCATTTAGCAGGTGACAGACATTGGGGTTGTTTGCCCTTTTTGGCTCTTAGGAATACTGCCACTGTAAACACCTGTCGCTCCCCGTCTTCGTGGAGGAACGACACAGGACCCTGCGCTGTTCTTTTGTCTGCTCGGCCCTCCCCGGGTTTGCTGCTGGTTCTTCCCGGGTTGGCTGCCGACCCTTCCACCTCCGTGGAAGGGCAGTTCCCCCTGCCACTTTCCCCACTTCCGCGGGGGAGCGGCACACCGCCGGCCGGCTCTCTCGGGGGCTGCACAGGTGTTCCCTCAGATAGATGTTCCCCTTAGATGTTCCTGGTGCATGCCGTCTCTCTCCTCCTTTATAGTCCTCTTCCACCAATCCCAACTCTGCTACCCACACGCCGAGTACGCTGCTCTCCTCCAATCAGGAGCAGGTCCTGCTGTTTATTGGTTGAACTGGAGGCAGCTGTGTAGAAGCTGTTTCCTCCTCTCCCAGCACCATATTGTGGGAGAGCAGATGCATAGAATAAGTCTTAATTCCAGTAACTTAGTCTAGTCCGGGTTGCTCCCAGTTGCTCCCCACAAACACCCATGTGCAAGTTTTTGTGTGGACGTGTTTTCAGTTCCCTTAGGATGGACACACACACATGGTTGGTAGTTTTGTTTTGACAAGGAAAGTCCAGAAATGACTAACCATCCAGGGTCTCGTCAGCCAGCCACGAACCCACTGCAGAACGCCAACCCTTGGGTTTTCTTTTCCTTCCTCCCTCCCTCCCTTCCTTTCTTTCCTTTTTTTCTTTTTCCAATATAAAAGAGTTTGAAAGAGTTACAGAGGGAAGTAAAGAGAGAAGGGGAGAGAGTGTGCTTGCACCTGCTGGTTCCCACCCCCACCCCCCAAATAGCCACAACATAGCCAGGAGCCTGGAACTCCATCCGGCTCTCCCACACGGGTGGCAGGAGACTTGGGCCATTCCCAGGCACATTAGCAGGGAGCCGTGTTGGAAATGGAGCTGCCAGGACTCGAACCAGCAACGATACTGGCTATGGGATGCTGGCATTGCAGGCGGCGTCTTCACCCATGTCACCACAGCGCCCCGCGTTTCCTTCATGAGAGCACATCTGGAGACCACAGTGCTGCAGGTCAGGATAGTGGTGGAGGTTGGGGAACATCGTGTGTACGATACCAAGATTCATGGAGCAATACCACAGAAAGACCTTTGTCCTGCGCTACCTTTGATGGAAGGGGACAGTAGAGATGCCCACATCCCATATCATTGTACCTGGATTCAAGTCCTGGTCCTGGCTCCCGACCATAGCTTCATGTCAACGTGCACCCTGGGAGGCACAGTGATGGCTCAAGTATTTGGGTCCTTGCCACCCACATGGGGAGACCGGGACTGAGTTCCCAGCCTGGCTGCTACAGGAATTTGAGGAGTGAACCAATGAATCATTGCACTCTCTTTCTCTGCCTCTAAAATTTAGAAAAGCAGGGGCCAGCATTGTGGCGTAGCAGGCAAAGCTGCTACCTGCAATGCCAGCATCCCATATGGGCGCAGGTTCGAGTCCCGGCTGCTCCACTTCTGACCCAGCTCCCTGCTGGCCTAGGAAACCAGTGGAAGATGGCTCAAGTACCACGCCCACGTGGAGACCCGGAAGAAGCTCCTAGCTTCAGCCTGGCCCAGTCCCAGCTGTTGCAGCCATCGTGGGAGTGAAACACCCACCCCTACACACAACCAGTCTCCCTCTCTCTTTGTAGCTCTTTCAAATAAATAATCTTTAAAAAAAATAATTTTAAAAAGCCAAAGGAAAAAAATGGGGGAGGATGAAGGGAATATGAATCGAAGGGAAGGAAGACAGAAGGTGAGCAGGACAGCACTGTCTCTGTGGCAGGCACCCCCACTCCCGATGAAGGCCCTGGTGTCCGTGTAGCGCCTCTGGTGGGGCCGTAGGTCTGCTGAAGCCTGGACTGCACCTGCCTCCCGTTCATGCTGGCGAAGTCCTGCGCTCCCTGTACTTTATAAGGAGACGAGGTCATTGCAGATGTGACAAGCTTAAAGATGAGGTCAGTAGGCGTTTGGCACAGGGGTGCACATACTGCTTGGGACCCCACATATCAGAGTGTCTGGGTTCGAGTCCTGGCTCCACTTCTGATTCCAGTTTCCTGCTAACATGGACCCTGGGAGGCAGCGGAAGACGGCTCCAGTACTTGGATCTCTGCCACCCACGAGGGAGACCTGGATTGAGTTCTGGGCTTCTGGTTTCAACCTGGCCCAGCTCCAGCTGTTACAGGCATTCGAGGAGTGAACCAGTAGAGAGGACATTTCTTTCTGTGTCTCTATGTTTGAAATAAATAAGCTTTTGAAAAGACAAGGTCAGAGGCAGCATTGTGGTACCACAGGTTACAAAGCCACCTGCAATGCCTACATCCCATATGATGGCTGGTTCCTATCCAGGCTGATTCACTTCCAATCCGCACGCACCCTGCTAAGGCACCTGGGAAAGCTGCAGAAGATGGCCCCAAAGCGTGGGCCACTGAAACCTACGTGGGAGATCCAGATGGAGTTTTGGACTCCTGGCTTCAGCCTGGCCCTGCCCCAGTCCCAGCCATTGTGGCCATTTGGGGAGCAAACCAGCAGATGGAAGATCTCTCTCTCTCTCTCTCTCTCTCTCTAGCTCTGACTTTCAAATAAATTAAAAAAAAAAAAAACCACAAGATTCTTAGGGTGAGCCTTAACCCCTTATGCTTGGTATTGCTCTACAAAGGGACGGTCTGGACGCAGACACAGCAGGGAGAGGGTCATGTGAGGCTGAAGGCAGGGGTCAGCCAAGGCTTCTCCCAGCCAGGGACGGCCCAGAAGCTGGGGAGAGGCCTGGGACGGGTCCTTCTCTCCTTTAGAATTCCAGGGGGGAGGGCACTCAGGCGTGAACACGAAGAATTTTTAGACATGAGGGGGTGTGAGGCTTCTCTACAGAACTCAAAAGGACATGCGTGTTACGTGTCAACACCCATCTCTGTATGCCGGGAAAGAGAAAGTGAGGTTTGCCAAGACTGGCGCACATAGCTGTGCAGCCCAAAAAGTGCTGGGACCTCCATGTCACCAAGCAAGCTGGCAACCCAGATGGCCCTCGGGTGATGCTGTGCCTGTCTGCAGGTCTGAGCGCCGGGGGAGCCGGTGGTGTGGGTCGGAAAGCCAACAGGCTGGACCCCCAAGCACCCACGTCTGAAGCGTGAGAGGACCCGTGTCCCCACCCGAGTGGTCAGGGCCCAGGAGTTCCCTCTGCCTCTGCCTCCCTGTTGGATTCAGGTCTTTCTTTGGTGGGGTGAGGCCCACCCACAATAAAAAGGGCTGTCTGCTTTATTCAGACCCCTGACTAAAGTGGGAGTCTGTCCAGGACAACGTTGGGCCAAATGTCTGGGCACCCCACGGCCCAATCCCGTCGATACATACGTGAACTACTGCATGGAGGGTTCCCCAATGCACTCGCCATACACCTTTTCCCAGAGGGAAACTAAAGGGTCCACTCCAGCACCACACAGAGCAGGGCAACCAATGCCACCAGCGGCATTTCATCCCAGCGGCTCAGCCCCGTTCCTAACACAGGGGCCAGGGCTCTGCCCTGCACCTTACAGTCACTCTGTGTTCCAGGTGTTGCTGGCTTGCTGCCTCTCGACGCCATCCCCAGCCTTCCACACTCTCCTCCGCACTAGAGCAGGATGGAAGACGGCAAACTACACTTGCCAGACTCCCTTGCTAGCTGGCAGCTGGCTGGATCCTGCTGGCAGGGAGCTTGAGGGTCCGGATGGGAGAGGAAACATTTCCCGCTTCTGGTGGTACCTCCAGAGCTGGCGACTGAACCCGGACTCACAGGTCCTGAGAGGCCACGGCAGCCGCAGTGACCGTGGGTGGCTCGCTGCATCGTCATCGCCGCCTTTAGCTCCGCTAGCCCTGGGGAATACCGCTTCCCTTTCTCCTTGGTGATGCCCTGCCCATTCCCCTGTAGCCAATGTTTGCTTATCAGGTGAGCTCTTCTCCCTCCCTGTCTGCACTTTGTGGGGCTCCGCTAACTCACTGTTGCAAAATCGGGAATGAATTTCCTCCAAGGCAGGAGAGGAGCCAGACGGAGGTGGACCAGCCGCTGCCAAGTGCCTTGGCTCACTCACAGTCCACTGCCCAGAGGACCACGCGGCCCTAATCTCACCATACGGAAGACTGGAAGATACCACGGGGCACCTGCACATCTGGTGAGCCCTGGAGGTCTCTGTCACAATGCGGCCATCCAGAGGGGGCAGAGAGAACAGCCTGACAGGGTGGCCGGGGAGGCCCCGGCTGGCTGGCGAAGGGCTGGGCAGCAGCCATCCAGTTTGGACCCAGACAAAGCAGGTGCCAGAGGGAAGTCCCCAGGAAGCAAAATGCTACGAGATTTCCGAGCGGTCTGGGTGGAAAGTCGGGTCCCCGGGTGCTTCCAGAGCCAGCAGAGGAGCCGGAAGTCTCACTCAGGGATTCTGTGAACAGATCAAAGCCGGTGAAAAAAAGGAAAAAAAAAAAAGAGTGATGAACTCCTTTAGGAAAAGAAGTAAACTAATTTAAAAAACCCACTTCTCGGGGCTCAGCAGGGGGTGCTATTTACATAGATGCGGCTGTGGAAACTATAAACAGGGATTAACCAAAACTGCGATAAAACAGCATCACCAGCTGGTTAACTGCGCGGGTTAGGGGCCAGCAGCTCCCAGGCCACACAGTCAGGGGCTCCCGTGACGCACCCAGCTTTGCTCCTTCCCTGGGATGGGCTCACCGAATCCAGAAGAGCACCCTGGCTAGGGCAACCATTTCCCGGCGAAATATGCAGGTCTGGTCCAGCCACGCTCCACGGAGGAAACCAGAGGGTCCGGCTGTGTGTAGGGGGGTGGGGGGTGTTCCTGGTTTTCACCGAGTGGAAGCCAGCGCCTGGGAATCCATCACCACGTGGGAGGCCGGTGCATCTTCATCCGGTTCCATTCCACAGACATTACACACGCTGCTGGGTTGGAGAGGGAAGGAGGAAGGCGCACATGAGAGACAACTGGGTTGCTAGGTCTGAAAAAGGAGAGGCCGGAGGATGGGTACCTGCTGTTGGAAAGAAGCCAGCAGGGGACGGGATTCCAGGAGCCGGTGGAGGGACAGCTCTGCGGGGGCGGGGGGGGGGGTCCCAGGAAGGGACGCACTTACCCTTGGTCCGCTCACATCTCCTTGTCCTCCTTGCCTGCAGGCTGCCGGCTCCAGGGCACAGGTGGAAGGCAGGGATGCGCCTCAAGGTACCCTCGGCTGTTCCAAAGTCAAGTTCTCCCCGCCGCACCTGTTGCCGGGGTGAGCCCCTTCCCGGCCCTCTGCCACCACGGGCAGGCTTTTCAGGCAGGGGCGAGAGGGGAAAGAAAGGCCGACCTTCGGCTCCTGTGGGGGCCAGGGTTGGAGGGGCGCGGGCTGTGACCCCACCTCCCCCACCCATCCCCCATCGCCCCCGGCTTTGGTGGACGGATCTCAGGGGTCTGTGCCCTGAGGGCTACTGCCAAGCAAGAGAGATAGCCAGGTAAGACCTTCCTGGGAGGAGACCCCTGGCGCCGGCAGGCAAAGAGAAAGCAGCCCGTGGGGAAAGGGATCTGCGGGAGCGCGCAGCTGGAGGGGGCCGGACCTGGGACCCCGGGGCGGGGGGGGGCCGGAGGGACGCAGCGGGGGCTCGGAGAGGGACCAACCCAGCTCCATCCGTGCGCCAGGGCCGCCCTCACGGCCTGCTTGATACATTGGGGTCACAGCCTATCCCCAGGGGTGGCGCAAATTCGCCGCCCGTCTGCCCTGGACACACCAGGGATCCAAGATGCGAGCCAAGCGGCGCCCAGGAGGGGCCTCATTAACGGAGTGTCATTCAACTCGGACCCGGGCCAGAGACTTCAGACGCCGTGCCTTGCCTTCCAGGAGAGGTGGCCGGTCCCGCCGGGAGCTCCATACCCGCGCGCGAGGAGCTCCAGTCGCTGGCTGGGGCGCACGCACCGGGGATGCGGCACCGCGCGCTGCGGCCGGCCCTGGACGCGCGCGGGGCTCCGCGTCTTGCGCCCGCGCCCGGGTGCGCGGCCGGCCCGGGAAGGGTTAAGCCCACCGAGCTGGCGGCGGGCGGCCTAGAGCGGCGGCGGCAACGGCGGCGGCGGCGGGGGCCGGGGCGCGGGGGCGCGGCGGGCGCAGGGGCGGGGGACAGGATGCGGATGCCGGGGGGACTTCCTGTGCCGGCCCCGCGCCCCCGCCCCCGGCCCGGCCCGCTGCCCGCACGGACACGCGCGCGGGCGGGCGGGCGAGCGAACGGGGGACCCGGCCCGGCCGCGGCGCCCGCCCCGCGCCCCGGCCCGCCCGGCCCGCCCTGGCCGCCCGCGGGTTGCGGGCACCTGTGGCCGCCCGGACCTCGCACCGTCCGCGTCTGCCCTCAGCCAGGGGCCCCCGGCCGCCTTCCCACGGGAGACGGCCCGGGCCCCGCTGCGCACCATGGTCCGGCCGGGCGCGCGCTGAGCCCCCCGCGCCGCCCGGGAGTCTCCGCCAACTTGGGCTCGGGAACTCCGCTCGGCCCCGGGCGACTTCGGCAGCCCTGACGGCGCAGACAGGCCCGCGGGTGGCCCCGCGCCTCCCCGGCTCTTTGTGGATGGAGGCGCCTCCGGACGCAGCGGGCTGAGCACCTGGCCTGCGCCGCGCGGCCCCTGCGGACCACACCTCCCCGGCGCAGGCGCTGCCCCGCGTGCGGGAGATGCGGTACCAGGTGAGGCCCGGGACCGCGGCATCTCTGTCAGGAGGGTTTGAGCGGGATTGCGAGACCTGGAGGCAGCCTGTTTGGGGGGCGCGGGTGGACTGGACATGGGGCCACCTCTCCAGGCGCCAGGCCCCACAGCGGTGCCGTCGTGCAGGGTTATGGTACTCTGGACACCTGTCGTCCTCGCGACCCAGCTGACACCTGACCCCCATCACCACCACAGCCTGGGAGCTAAGGAATCGGACCCAAGGGCTCCCCCAAATGTCCCTTCTGTGACCCCATCCCCCTTCCTCCTGATCCCCGATTCCCAGTGCCCCAATCAAAGAAGCAGCCTTGGCCCTGGGCAGAACCCCAGGGCCAGGCCACCCTGGCTGCTCCTTCCCCAGCTATGAATGCGCTGCCCAGCAGGGGTGGAGCAGCCGGCTCTGGGTGGTCTGAGGCAGAGGTGGGGGGGGGGTGTCTCTGAACAGCTCTCTTCTTGCTCTCAGCACAGCCGGCTCCTCAGGGTCCTGGTCTGACCGCCAGGATGGAGCTGGGGCCGGCAGCTGCCACCGAGACCTTCGTGCTGGAGTTGCAGTGCCTGGAAGACGGCGGCCCCAGGCCTGACGCTCTCACAGGTGAGGACCCCCAGGGAGGGTCCTTGGACGGCCGGAGGCCCAGGGTGGTGGGTGGCGCCCACTGGCACCAGCCGGCTGCCTTTGTGGAACACAGCCAGATCTGCTAGCAGTCCCGACATCGGCACGCACGCTGGCTGGGACGTGCTGCTCTGTGTCCCCAGCAGCCAGGTGGCCTCCGCCGTCCTCCTACCTGGCCCTGGCTCCCGGCTCACTCACTGCACCTTTTTTAAGATGCATTTGTTTAAAATGCTGCAGTGGCTGCTCCGGGAAGCCACAGTGGCCGTATGGGACAGGTTTTCACAGTGGGCTTCATCCCCCGCCTGATGACCCCTGCTGGTGTGTCTTGAAAAAGATGCTCCCTGACACCTTGGCCTCACCCAGGGATTTTAGGAATATTTTCTTCTCAAAGCAAATTGTATCCATGTCGCTATCCATTGCTTTTGTTAGATTAGGTTAGGTCAGGTCGATACACTCTCTGGAAAAGTGACCAGAGAGCAAATACTGAGAATAGGGCACTCTGGGAAGAAGAGATGTTGAAGTCAGACCTGAACGTGGAGAATTGGGATTTTCTGATAGCGCAGGATGGATAGTTGCCAGAAGCCGAACGTGGGCGTGGTGTGGGAAGGGAGCCATCCCAACAGAGCCACTGCCGGTCGGGGCGGGGCTCACTCCCTGCTCTGGCCTCCCTTTGCGGGAGCGAAGCCGCAGTCTCCCCAGATGTTGAGCGGAGGCGCTGGGTCAGTCCTTCCCACGGCCGAGTGAGGACCGGCAGTGCCGCCAGCCCCTGGCTGTTGCATTCGGAGCTGGATGCGTCCCTGTGGTTTCCTGGCTGCTCTTCCGTTTGCACGCTAACTCCTGACCTGCAGGGAGAGGGCCTTTTCAGGTTCCTGCTGTGCCAGGGACCTTCCTGTCCTGCTGAAGCGGAGGGTGTGGGTGTCCGTCAGCTGTGCCCCAGGGCCGGTGGAGTGACAGCTGCCCACCCACAGCCTCTGCAGATCTGGTGGTCACACCAGCACATCCTAGAGGAGTTCTCCTCTGATGGACAGAGAAGGGGTTGCATTCACTGAAGGTGTGAACTCATCCCGGGGTGACAGTTCACTGCCACCCCCTGGATGGCGACTAAGCATGAGAGACTGCCTGGGGAATGATGTTGGGGAGCCCCAGGCACCCAGACTGGTGTCACTGCCCAGATCGGAATGTGACGCTTGTGTCCAGGGCGAGGTGACCACCAGGCCCTGAGCCAGCCTCCTTTCTCAGGCATTGTACACTCTACCATGCAACCGTGCTTGCTTGACCTGGCGCCTGCGGGTCCCTGCCGAGAGCAGGTCAGTGCAGCTTTGCGTGGCTGTAGCTGGGCATGGTGAGGGGCAAGTCCTGAGGGTCTGGGCTGGATGGCTGCCTGTAGATCCTTCTCTCCTGGCTTTCTGCCCTTTCCACTACAGGTGGCAGCCATGGGAGTGAGAGTCAGGAGCGGGAAGAGGCTCAGGAGGGGAGTAGCAGCCTCCAGCGGCCAGCAGGGGCCAGTGAGATCCCGGAGGAGGCCCAGCCAGGACAACAGCAGCAGCCTGAGAACCCTCTAGTAGGACATCCGCCAGAATTGCACCCACAGCAGCAGCAGCAGCAGCAAGACGGGCGCCAGCAACAGCCGCAAGTGGGAATGCAACCGCTGTTGGGGCAGCAGGCACACTTACAGCAGCACCAGCAGTTATTGCAACAGCAGCAGGAACACGCCCAGCAGCACCGAGTGCATGAGCAGCAGTTATTGCTACACCAGCAGCTGTTGCAACAGCAGCAGGCACAGATGCAGCAGCTGCAGCCCCCTCCACTGCAGCCGGGGGAGGAGGAGGAGGAGGAGGAGGAGGTGGAGCTGGAGCTCATGCCGGTGGACCTGGCTTCGGAGCAGGAGCAGGAGCAGGCGCGGCAGCGGGAGGAGCTGGAGCGGCAGCAGGAGCAGCGGCAGCTGCAGCTCAAACTGCAGGAGCAGCTGCAGCAGCTGGAGCAGCAGCTGGAGCAGCAGCAGCGGTTGGAGCAGCAGCTGGAGCAGCAGGAGGTGCAGCTGGAGCTGACCCCTGTGGAGCTGGGTGCCCAGCCCCAGGAGCTGCAGCTGGAGCTGACCCCCGTGCAGCCCGAGCTGCAGCTGGAGCTGGTGCCCGCCGCGGGGGGCGGCGCAGCGGCGGTCCCAGGGGCTCCGGCGGCAGTGGTGGTGGCCCCTCCTGGCTACGTGGTGCTGCAGGAGCTCGTGGTGCTGCCGGCTGTGGCCACGTCGGCCGTCGTGGCCATTCCGGGCCCGGCCGGCAGTGCGGCGCTGACCCCCGCACGGCAGCGGCGGCGGCGGCGTGCCAGAGACCGGCCAACCATCTGCGGGGAGTGTGGCAAGGGCTTCAGCCGCAGCACGGACCTGGTGCGGCACCAGGCCACGCACACCGGCGAGCGGCCGCACCGCTGCGGCGAGTGCGGCAAGGGCTTCTCGCAGCACTCCAACCTGGTGACGCACCAGCGCATCCACACGGGCGAGAAGCCGTACGCCTGCTCCTACTGCGCCAAGCGCTTCAGCGAGAGCTCGGCGCTCGTGCAGCACCAGCGCACGCACACCGGCGAGCGGCCCTACGCCTGCGCCGACTGCGGCAAACGGTTCAGCGTCTCCTCCAACCTGCTGCGCCACCGGCGCACGCACTCGGGCGAGCGCCCCTACGTGTGCGAGGACTGCGGCGAGCGCTTCCGCCACAAGGTGCAGATCCGCCGCCACGAGCGCCAGCTGCACGGAGCGGGCCGCTCGCGGGGCCTTGGCCTGCGCTCGCAGCCGGCGGGGAGCGGGGCATCGGGGGGCAAGGCTCCCTGACGCCCCGACGGCTCGCGGTCTCTGCAAGCTACCCTAGAATGCGTGTCAGTTCCCGGGTTCCCCTGAGAGAAGTACCAAGTTCGTAGCCACGCCTGGAACCACCCAGAGGGCAGGTGCTGGGGAGGGAGGGGGAGCCGAAGCTGATGGTGGGACGCACCTGCAAACACGCGAGCCAGGCGCTGTGCTGCAGAACCCAGCAGGTGCACGCGGTTCTGCAGGGTCTGGGAACAGGTGCAAATGCACACTAGGATGTCCGCTCTGGGTGGAAGGTGAGACCTTCCCCGCAGGGGAGCCTAAGGTTCCCGGCTTCTCTTTCTGTTCCCAGGCCCATGGGGCCCCTTAGCATCCTCCAAGGTAATAGCCTGTGGCTGGATCTGTGAGTGCGCGGTCTAAGAGCCGTCCCACCCCCACCACACCCAGCCCAGCCTCCTCAGAGGCCACCCAAGGGCTCACGCTGAAACCCAGGGGCACAGGGCTCTTCTGGCTGTGGCTGGGGAGGGGTCTGTCGGAGCAGACCCTAGTCTAAGGAGAGAATCCGGGGGCAGTAGGAATGGCCTTTATCACGTTGACCAAATCGTCCTGGGCATGGGCTGTTGAACAGCAAGGGCCGCCCCCTGGCTTCAGGGGAGGTGGGGCCCTGCAAGAGGCCACCGCCCCAACCCGCAGCCCCAAGCACTTCCCACGCGTACTGCCTGGCGTCGGGGTCTCACCATCCCCCCGCCTCCCTGCTGCTCCGCTAACACGGCCTGCCACACTTCACGCACGTGTTGGTGAGTGAGAACCGGAAAACGAACAATAAAACAGAAACGCCGCATCCTGGCCTCGAGTCGTCTCTGCCTGGTCTCCACGTCCCGCCTCCAGGGTCTTTCCTTCCCGCCCGGGGCCTGTGGCTGGGGTACAGCCCAGACCCGAGCAGCCGGGCGCTCACGGACACCTCAGTGTCGTCCTTGTGTCTCTCCCTCTGTCCACTTTTGCTTCCAGCAGTCCACAACGTCAGCTGTTCTTGGAGGATGCCCTTGGCTGCCGGAGTCCCTGGGACCCTCCCCTGGGAGAGCCAGGTGCTCCCTGTGGGTGCCTTCGCCACAGGAGGGAGGTGGCAGGTCCGGCTGGCTCTCCTGCTTCTGCCCTGGCCGGCCCGAGTGCCTGGGAGTTTGCAGGACAGCTTGTCTGGGCGTTTGCTTCCTGTGTCCCCTGTCCCTGTGTCTTGCTCCGGCACCCCTGGGAATAAGCCCTAAGCAGACTGTTCCTATGAGATCTGCCTCTCAGGAGCCCACCCGAAGACTGGCGTGTGGCTGTCACGGTGGGATATTGATATGGGTCCCTGTGGGTCCCTGCGAGTGGTGGTCATCTCAGACCACTGGACTTGAGGACGCCAAGGCGCCTGTCAGACCGGGAGCATAACTGCATCTCACCAGAAACGGGCAGGTGGAGACCTGGGAGGCCACTGTCATCCTCCCCAGTGGGAAATGACCGCTTCCGTCCCAGTTTGCAGGTCCGGGCTGGTTCCCGGGTCTCCTGAGGGAGCGGAGCAGGGGGGACTTGGAACTGGCACTGTGGTGGGGAATGACGCAGGAGCTTCAAGTCATGGTCTGTCCTGCGGCGCCACAATGCCGGTTCTTCCTGGCAGAACAAGGGTGGACCAGAGATGCTAGCAGGTGGGATACGAGGGAAGGTGTTGCAGACGGAAGTCACGGTGTGCAAGGGCACAGGGCTGGGTGGAGGCGGGCGAGGGGCAGGGAGGGGGAGGTGGGAATCTCCGGTTGGCTGGGAGGTGGGTGCACCGAGAGACCCGGGCAGATTAGAGGTGTGCCAGGCAGGGGCTGGAGTTTGTAGAAGTGCATGGTTTTCTAGCTGGGGATGTGAGTACTTCCTGTTTCCTTCACCTGCACTGTGAGGTGAGTATCTCTTATCTGAGAAGCTCAGGACCAGACATGTTTAGGATTTTGCATTTTTCCAGCGTTTGAAATATTTGCACTTAGATAATGAGACACCTTGAAGATGGTGTGGATGGGAAGAGAGAGAGAGTGCTTCCATCCACTAGCTCATTCCCCAGATGGCTGCGATGGCCAGGGCTGGGCCAGGCCAGAGCCGGGGGCCACAGAGAGGGCACAGCTCTGGGAAGAGGAGGCACCTGGCTCTCAGCAGCCTGGCTCTCCCAGGGGAAAACACAATGGGAGAGAGAAGGGGCAGGGGGAGGGGGAGGGGACTCACAAAGTTACTAAGAGTGTAACTGGTTTTATTTTTTCATGTCATTATCATATTTGCAAGCTTTTGCAACAGTTAGGGGTAGGTGTGGTTTTTGCAAGGGTGCTGGGGAAGGCTCCAGGTTTGATGCGTTAGGGACTTGGGCGAGGCAGAAGAGTCCACAGGCAAAGTCCTGCCCCCTCCCGCTGATGTGTTTAATCAGAGCAACGGTGGCTGGGCTTTTAAAAAGTGTATTGATTTGGGGCCAGCACCGCGGCTCAATAGGCTAATCCTCCGCCTTGCGGCGCCGGCACACTGGGTTCTAGTCCCGGTCAGGGCGCCGGATTCTGTCCCGGTTGCCCCTCTTCCAGGCCAGCTCTCTGCTGTGGCCCGGGAGTGCAGTGGAGGATGGCCCAAGTGCTTGGGCCCTGCACCCCACGGGAGACCAGGAGAAGCACCTGGCTCCTGCCTTCGGATCAGCGCGGTGCGCTGGCCGCAGCGCACCAGCCGGGGCGGCCATTGGAGGGTGAACCAACGGCAAAGGAAGACCTTTCTCTCTGTCTCTCTCTCTCACTATCCACTCTGCCTGTCAAAAAAAAAAAGTGTATTGATTTGAAGTAAAAGTGTTTTTAAATTTATTTTCATTTTATTTGACAAGCAGACCAGCAGAGAGAGAAAGGGAGACAGCATCTGCCTGCTCACTCCCCAAATCCAATGGCTGAGACTGCACTGGGGCTGAAGCTGGGTGCTGGCAATGCCATCCAGGTCTCCCGCAGAGGTGAACAGGAACCCTGTTGTCACCCAGAGTGACATCATCTTGCCTCCCTCGGTCTGCCTTAGCCAGCTGGAGTCAGGAGCTGGAAACTGAGCCCAGGAACTCCAATGAAGGATAGAGCTGTCTTTTATCATTATTTATTTAAAGGTGTATTTATTTATTTGAAAGAGTTACAGAGAGGCAGAGGCAGAGAGAGAGAGAGAGAAGTCTTCCACCTGCTGATTCAGTCCCTAAATGGCCACAACGGCCAGAGTTGGGCCGATCCAAAGCCAGGAGCTTCTTCCCTCCCGGTCTCCCACACAGGTGCAGGGGCCCAAGCACTTGGGCCATCTTCTACTGCTTTCCCAGGCCATAGCAGAGAGCTGGATCAGAGGTGGAGCAGTGGGACTTGAACTGGAGCCCATATAGGGTGCTGGAGCTGCAGGTGGAGGCTTAGCCCACTATGCCACAGCGCCAGCCCCCCAGTGCCTTCTGTTTCAGCTGACTATGGCTGTGTAAGGAGCTACCCCCCAAACCCCGGCTTAAAACAACAGGTACTGTGTTCTCACGGGTCTGCACATTGCCCAGGTCCAGCTTGGTGGTTCCTCGGCTCCATGTGACATTAGCTGGGGCTGTGTCCCCTGAGGACCCGGTGTACAGTGACATCTGTTCATCATAGATGACTCTGGTGGTCACCAGGGAGCTCAGTGGGGCTCCCCTCTCCGTGTGGCCTGGGCACCTCTCAGAAGAGGGGCTGAGGAAGCAACGCTCCTTCTGTGGTCCAGCCTTGGCAGGTGTGTAAGGTCACTTCTGCCACATCTCAGTTATAAAGTAAGTCCCAGCGCCAGCCCAGTCCTAGCACTCAGTGGCAGGAATAGAAAACGATTTTCTGCCCTTTTTTTTTTAGACAACCAGTCTTTCGGAGATGGAGCCAGGCGGGGTAGAGAGGTATATTCATACAGCAGAACTCAGCAGGAGCCCCCGTCCTGGTTCCTGGCCTGCCTACCTGCCTGGCACCTGCTGGGATGCTCGTGCACACCTCAGCCGCCTGTGGCTCCCGACAGGGAACGGGCTGTGGCAGGAGAGAGCATTGGGGGGCACGAGGGATTCTGTGAGGCCCAGGATGGCCCTGGTGGGAGCATCGGCCCAGATCCACCCCTGCACATGCTGCCCCCAGGGACTGGCCTCTCGGCTGGGTAGAGCTCATTCCCACTCAGCTCTTAGGACCTACTCAGCCCTTGCCCCCTGCATGAAGCCCTCCTGGGCTCCTGCCGAGCTCCCACGCCAGGAACTGGCCAAGGAGCCTAGCACAGAAGGGTGCAGACCCATTTCCCCGCCCCTCGGCTGCATGCCACCATAAAGAAAATCAGAAGCAGACAGGTGCAAAAGCAGGTTTTATCCAGCAGCTATTGCGACGGTTCCATGGAGAACTGGGCTTGCTATGGACGCAACATGGACAAATGGGCATTTATAGCCACGTAGGTGGGGGTGGGTGCTTAGTGGCTGGAAGAATACTAAGTGTGGGAGGGGGTTCTGGTTAAGCAAACCCAGCAGGATTCTCGGTAAAGGCAGGCCAGGTATCTCAGGCCGGGGGAGACAGGACTGGATCAGATATTGAGGGTGCGGATTCCGGCTGAACCGACTGGACAGGACGTCTGCTGTCACTGGGCAGTGCCAACGGGGGCAGGGGAGCTCAGAGGTTGCAGCTGAGCTGGGGAGAGGAAGAGGCTGAACTCCAGGCCAGCAGAGAGAGAACTCCTGTCCTTAGCCCCTCATGCAGGCCCAACCCCACCCACGCCTGCTTCCCTGCAGTTGGTTGCAAGGACCTGTGTGGCCCCTTTAAAAAAAATTTTTTTATAATAACCGATCCACACTGGGTTTTTTTTTTTTTAATGCTTGATTCTTATTTGAAAGAGAGAGAGAAACAGATCTTCCATCCTCTGGCTCACTCCCCAAATGGCTACAACGACCCAGGCTGGGCCAGGCTGAATCCAGGAGCCAGGAACTCCATCGGGGCTTCCCACGTGGGTGGCAGGGATCTAAGCACTTGGGCCGTCCTCTGCTGCTTCCCCAGGAGCATTAGCAGGCAGCTGGATCAGAAGCAGAGCCGCCGGGACTGACCTCTGCTCTGCTATGGAATACTGGGGTTGCAGGCAGAGGCTTAACCTGTTGCGTTGGGGGTCTCTCACGTGGCCACTTTTGTCCTCTGACTGCACCCAGGTTGGAGAGAGTGACCTGCTCCTCTCTCTGTCCCTGATGCCGCAGCCTCAATGAGCCCTCACTCCCAGCATGCCCTGGGGCTGGCTGGGCTGGACACTGCCCCCCTCCCCAGAAACACGGGCATCCCAGGGAGGGGCTCTCTCTGGGAGGACAGTGGGCAGAAGATATCCTCTTTTCCCACTGTGGTGTCGGAGGTCACAGAATCAGGCCACAGGATCCATCCTCCCACAAGCGTGGATGGCCAGGTTCTTGATGAACCGTGTATAGTTCCCAATTCCACAGCTTAACTGTCACCTCTCACCTGGCTCACCTCAGCAGCCCCGGAGGGTGCCCTGCACCCACCTGACTCAGGGCTCTGGGGCTCCCTCACTGCCCCCAGACCAGTTGGCCACACAGCATGGAACTCAAGCCGAGACAGGAGGGACTGCTGTTTCTCTCTGGGCCCAGCCCACCTGCGTCAGCTACCCCTCAGTGCCCCGGGGTGGGGGGAGTGGCTGTGTCCACTATGGGGTCTGTTTGTGTTCCTGCTCTCTGGGGGTGCACAGGCTGGGGTGGGCTGCTAAGCTCCCATTCCCTGGCCTGCGGCTGGGCAGCAGGTGCCCAGTCCCTGGAGGAGCCAGCTGCCTGTCTCTGTCCCTCCCCAGGATGCCTGGAGCCCTTGGCAAGCGAGGTAGGGGGTGTTGTCTGCTTCCAGTGCTGGGTGTGGGTATCCCCGAGTTCTCTTGCCTGAAGCTCCTTGGATTTCCTGTCTATCAGACGCCCCGCAGGGAGGAGGGCCATTGGCAGGATTTGGTCATTATCTGGATCACAATCCTTGATGTCAAAGTGGCCCCAGTGCCACCCCATCCCCAGCCACCTGTTCCATGGATAACTCCTCGTGTCTACCTTTATGATTGTTTATAACCAACGTCTGAGCTTTCAACGCTCAGCTGCTGGCCCCCTGGGCTGTGCTGGGGTGTGGTGGCCCTTCTGCTCTGGCTGGTCCCCTTCTTGCTGACACCCCTCCCCCTGCACAGCCTGGGACCCCAGTTGAAAACTGGGACTGCCTGAGTTGTTTTCTTTTTTCAAGATGTACTTATTTATTTGAAAGTCAGAGTTACAGAAAGAGAGGGAGAGACAGAGATCTTCCATCTGCCGCTTCACTCCCCAGATGGCCACAATGGCCAGAGCTGGGCCAGGCTGAAGTCGGGAGCCAGGAACCTCACCCAGGTCTCTCACATGGGCGGCAGGTTCTCAGACACTTGGGCCATCGTCCACTGCTTTTCCCAGGCCATTTGCAGAGAGCTGGATTAGCAGTGGAGCGGCCGGGACTCAAACCAGCACCCATATGGGATGCTAGGTTTCAGACAGCTGCTTCACCTGCTATGCCACAGTGCCAGCTCCCTGAGCTATATTTTTTCATAATAAAAATATTAGTTTGAAGAGCAATGTGACAAAGAGATAGCTTCCATCTGCTGGTTCACTCCTTTAATAGCTGCAATGACCTAGCCTGGGCCAGGCTGCAGCCAGGAGCCAGGAACTCCATGTTGGTCTCCCACATGGGTGGGACTTGGACCATTTTCTGCTGCCTTTGCTGGCACGCTAACAGGGAGCTGGATCAGAAGTGGAGCAGGTGGGACTCAGACCATCACTCTGATGCAGGGGTGGGTATGCACCCCAATACCAGCCCCAGGGCCGGAGTTCTTCAGAGAACTGGGGAGTGAGTTCAGGCCTTAGCGGAGCACAGGAATGCGTCATGTACGAACACAGGCCCTACTGGGAATGATGGAATAGCAATGTGTATATACATGTGGCTAGAAATCCTGGGGTAATAGGCTACAGGCCTTGGAGGGAAGGTGGGCTATAGTTCTGGTCCCCAAGAAGCCACAGGAAATGGTGGCCAGAGAGGGTCAATGGCCAGGACATGCCTGGGACCACGACACTCAGGAAACTGGCCACATCGCACCTTCAGGAATGTCCTGCTGCCCCAAAGCATCACAAGACGGATGTGCAGAAAAGGGGAGAGGTGAGCATGGACCCTGAGTTCCCCCATGAGAAGGGGCCAGCCAGGCTGGGGCCCTGCCGTGGTCCAGCCAAGGCAGCCGGTCCTGACCCCTGGCAGCTCTCCGGGCTTGGGTGGCCAGAGGCTCAGACCCTGGTGACTTCCAGCACTGTCCTGAGCAGGTACAAAGGTGATCACTGGCCTGGGGTGCCGGGGGTGGGGGATTGTGTGCTGAGGCTCAGCGAATCCAAAGCCCTTGGCAAGACCCACCCCCCAGCATGGGCCGGTGGAGGCAGACCTGATGGGAGGAGTCGGGTGGAGTGGGACTGCATCCTATGCCTCCTAGCAAGCAGTGGAGGTTTGGTTTTCTCAGAACAGTGGTGGACCCACCTGAGCACACCTGGCTCTGGGAGTCTCAGGTGCGGAGCAGGGGAGGGCACCTTGGGGGCGGCAGAGCCTTGTCCCTGTTGCGGCCATGCCGTGACCTTGGCTCCTGAGCAAGGGCTTTGGGGCCTCTGCCTGTCACGGGGCAGCAGCAGGGAGAGCTGGCCCTCAGGGGTGGCGAGTGGGGGAAGCCTGGTGGTCCCTGCAGAGAAGGAAGGAGAGAAATCAAGTCTTGGATTAGGGACCAGGTGAGGACAGGCCAAGGGGAGGTGCTAGGGTGGTACGGGGTCCTCGCCCAACCAGGTGGGGTTCTGAGGCCAGGGTGGAGACGCTGATTCGGGTTGTCCTCTACCTGCCTCTGGGCCCTGGGAGACCGACCCCTGAGGACCCCCACCCCCCTGACGTTCCATATTACAGGCAGATTTGACCAGAGGGCAGCACAGACAGGTGACGCCAGGGCGCTTACCCCAGCCCGGCCCTGCCATAGCACAACTCCCACCTGCTGGACCCCATCTCCCGTCCTCCACCTTCCAGTCGCTTCCATCGACCTGGCTGGCACTGTTCCTGGCTGTCAATCACCCCTCAGTCAGAGGCCTTCCTTGGAGCCACCTGTGACGAACGTTACTTCCTGCTGCACCTGTCAGGTAGGGTTGGGGAAAGGCCAAAGCTAGGAATCCAGGATTCAAAAGCTCAGATAGATAGCCCCAGGACCAGATGGGACCTCGCTCGGGAGGTGGGCTCGGAGAATGGCACAGCCCACGGAGGTCAGTCCCTCCTCAGGTCTTCCCTCCTGGTGCCCTACACATCTAGGACTTCGTGTTGGTAGACTTCTGATTTTTCAATTTTCTAAACATAAGTTAATTATTAACTAAGAGATATATAAGAACAGTAAGAGACAGGGGTCGGCGTCTGCAATGCCAGTATCCCATACGGGTTCTGGTTCTCATGTGCCTGGGAAAAGCAGTCAAAGATGGCCCAAGTCCTTGGACCCCCACCACCCACGTGGGAGTCCCTGGCTCCTGGCTTCCCCAATCCTGGGGAGTGAACCAGCAGATGGAAGCTCGCTCACTCTGTGCGTGTGTGTGACTCTTTCAAATAAAATCCTAACCAAACCAACCAACAAACGAAACAAGAAGCAAGCACAATTACTCTGATGGTTGGATTCAGCCCTTGGCTCCAGCCAAGTTCTGGGCAGAGAGGAGGTGTGCCAGGCCGGTGTGAAGCCACCTCCTTGGGGTTGCCGCCCTGTCCGGAGGGTCCAAGGCAGAGGGATGCCCCAGAAAAGAGCTGAGAACAACGGTACACGCAGGATGGGGGCCCGGTGCTCAGCAGCAGAACCCAGCCGCGCGCCTGGGGGTGCAGGCAGACAGGTTCCCACGGCCCCCTCACTTCTGTCTCAACCCGCAGAGCCCTTCCCCTCCGCGGTCCGACGCCTGCCTAAGACCCCACCTCCAGCGCGAGCTCTTCAACTCCAGGCCCCGGCTGCCCCCCAGCCCCCGACTCAGACCCAGTGTTTAGCCACTAGGCCAGATCCCTCCCCTCGCCATTTTATTTTCTTTTAAAAAAGACTTATGAATTTGAAAGGCACAGTTACATACAGAGAGAGGGAGAGACAAAGATTGAGGTCTTCTATCCACTAGTATACTCCGCAAGTGGCCACCACAGCCAGAGCTGAACTGCTCTGTAGCCAGGAGCGAGGAGCTTCTTCTGGGGCTTCCACACAGGTGCAGGGGCCCTAGGGACTTGGGCCATCTTCTACTGCTTTCCCAGGGCCGCATCCAGGAGATGGATCAGAAGTGGAGCAGCCGGGACTCGAACTGGGTGCTCATTTAGGATGGCTAACACCTGATGCCAGAGCTTTAACCTGGTATGCCACAGCACCGGGCCCTGTAGATCATTTTTTATTTCAGATCTATTTTAATTTAATCTGGGAAAGATAGAGCTACACATGAGCAGGTAGACCCTCCCTCTCCTCACCACAGCGGAGGGAGAGTGGTAGAAGAAGAAGAGGAGAGGGTCTCTCTTTCATTTGGTTTTCCTCTTGCAATTGGGTGGCCATTGGGCCCAGAGTCTGAATGTATTCTGAAATCCCCGGGACTCAGGGAAGCTTTTCTCTCCCGGGGTCTCC